ATGTAAACATCATTTGTTGAAATTATTTTTAAATTATATCACATCTAATTATAAATCTGAATGTCAATAATGAATGCGTCTAGTGTCATCAGTTTCAGCAAATTCTGCCGGAGCTGTTACTGAGGATGATTTTCGAAAAGCCTTTACGCAGGTCCCAAAGTGTGACGTGAGGCATATTTAGTCCATTTAATCTTTAATAATCACCTTTTTTCTGTTTTTCCTTCAGATATACTCTGCCAAGGAGCTGCAATCACAGCTGGAGTCGATTCGTCAAGTTCTTGAAAATTCTCAACTGGACTGGTCTCAGCGCGTTAATTCAGTATGCTTTATGGTTTTCACGAAAATGTTTTGAACTTTTTATAGTGATTGCTTCGTGATTGGGTCTTTTGAAACATCAAATGACATTGTTTTTTCAATTATAGATCACAGTGTTTTCTCAATTATAGATATAAACGAAAGAAACTTCTTAGATTGAGTTTCTTCGAAACAATTCTCATTATTTAGTTGAAGCTACTTCGTTCAATTTTAATAAATGGTGGAACGGATTTTGAAAATGAGCTTTTGTCTGGTATTCACTCATTGGAAGATGCTCTTATAACTTCAGTGAAAGATCTGCGATCGCAAGTGTGCCGTGAAGCGTGCATAACTGTCAGGTTGGTCCCATTCTTGGAATTCAACCAATTTTTTTTGCCGGATTAAATCACAAAATTTCCGTAGTCTTTTTATGCTCATTTTCTGAAGAGGGCTGCTCAGAGCTTCTGCTCAAACCCGGGCTGTACACTCTGCGTTCTTCTGGAAACGTAGCCTACCAATTTTCGGGTGTATGCGCTTTCACCTGTTGGAAAATTGCAGCAGTTCTGCTCAAAGGAGAGATTGAGTAGTTCTCAATTCGTAATCGTATAGTAGCTTTTGCAAATATATCAACCATGTATATTTCCACTTTTTATTAGAAACATATCTAAGTCAGAGATTCTAGAATTCTACAATCCATAGCACTGTAGCGTACTCATAAGAGATGTGCACTCAGTCGTCATTGCAATTATAAGTGATTAACACAGAAGTGCAGCACGAAACACTTTCCCTATCTTACACATTTATTAAGAGTATTCCGTA